ATATGCCTGTTAAAGTGAAGGGTAAGGCTGGTAAGAATAGGGAACAATGGATGAATAAAGATATTGAGGTTCTAGTTAAGAATAAAAAAGTCATATATTAGATATAGACGACTGGGATCAAATTAATCTCTAAGAGTATAAACAGTGTAGGGGCATTCTTAAGAGGGAAATCAGGAAGTGAAAGAGGGGATATGAGACAGCCTTGGCAGATAAGGTAAGGATAATCCGAAGAGATTCTACAAGTACATAAAGTGCAAAATAGCAAGTAGAGAGAGACTAGGGCTCTTTAAAGATGAACACGGTCTTTGTGTTGAACCTCAGGAGATGGGAGAGATATCAAATGAATTTTTTGCATCAGATTTTACTATGGAGAAAGAAATGGAGGCTACAGAACTCGGGGAAATAAATATTGATGCTTTGAAAACAGTTCATGTCACAGAAGAGGAAGGGCTGAAGGTCTTAGAAAACAAAGGTGGATAAATCTCCAGGACCTGATCAAGTGTATCCCAGGAGGTTATGGGAACTCGAGGCCCCTGGTAGAAATATCTGTATTATCTATAACCACAGGTTAGATGCCACAGGACTGGAGTGTGGCTGATGTTATGTCATTGTTTAAGAAAGGCTGTAAGGAGAAGCCTGGAAACTATAGACCTGTGAGACTGACATCGGTGATGGGTAAGTTGATGAAGGTGATTCTGAAAGATAGGATTTACATACATTTGGAGAGGCAAGGTATGATTAGGGATAGTCTGCATGGTTTTGTGCGAGGGAAATCCTGTCTCACAAACTTGATTGAATTTTTTGAGGAAGTAACTTAAAAAGATTGAGGGCAGAGCCGTATATGGTGTTTACTTGGACTTTAGAAAAGCTTTGACAATGTTCCACATAGTAGACTACTCAGTAAAGTTAGATTCAGGGACAGCTTGCTAATCAGTTGCAAAATTTACTTGACAATAAGAGACAGAAGGTGGTGGTGGAGGGTTGCTTTTTGGACTGGAGGCCTGTGACTAGCGGTGTTCCACAGGGATTGCTACTGGGTCCACTTTTGTTTGTCATTTCTATAAATGATTTGGATAGAGCAGAAGAGGCATGAGTAGTAAGTTTGCGTATAACACCGAAATTGATGGTATAGTGGACAGTGAAGAGGTTATCTAATATTACATAGAGATCTTGATCAATTGGGCCAATGGGCTGAGGAGTGGCAGATCGATTTTAATTTGCAATGTACATGCGATGTATTGCATTTTGGTAAAAGAAACAAGGACAGTATTTCTACAATTAATAGTAGCACCCTGGTTTGTGTAGTAGAACAGAGAGACCTAGGAGTTTAGGTACATAGTTTTTTGAAATTTGCATTACAGGTACACAGAACAGTTAAGATGACATTTAGCATGCTCAGACATCTGAGTATAGGAGTTGGGATGTCATGTTGAGGCTGTACAAGATGTTAGTGAGGCCTCTTCTGGAGTACTGTGTGCAGTTTTTGTCGTCCTGCTATAGGAACGATATTATTAAATTGGAGAGGGTTCAGAAAAGATTTATAGGGGTGTTGCCAGGAATAGACAGTTTGAGTAATAAAAATAGGCTGGGACTTTTTTCACTGGAGCGTAGGAAGTTGTGGGGTGACCTTAGAGTTTTATAAAATCATGAGGGACATAGATAAAAAGTGAATGACAAGGGTCTTTTCCCTCAGGTGGGAGTGTTCAAAACTAGGGGGGCATATTTTTAAGGTGAAAGGAGAAAGATTTAAAAAGGGTATGAGGAGCGACTTTTTTTACACTGTGGTTAGTGTGTGGAACGAACTGCCAGAGGCAGTGGTGGATACAGGTACAGTTACGCTTAAAAGACATTTGGATAACTACATAAAAGTTTGGAGGGATATGGGCCAAACACAAGCAGTTGGGACTTAGTTTGGGAACATGGTTGGCATGGACATGTTGGAGTGAAGGGCCTGTTTCCGTGCAGTATGTCTTTACGTTACGCCATACATCCTCTCCAATTGGGAATTCTCAAGCAGATGAAATAATTATTTGTCCTTACCCAAAATATCCAAACGAATAGGCTTCATGTGGTTTTAGAACAGATATGAATCTAAATTGTACATGGAAGCTAAGAATCACAATATGGTTATTACATGGGTAGCTTATAAAGGTGAGTGAGAATATTGTTACTACCTGATTGAAACAGTACCAAAATAGTGCATTAATATGTAATATTACAAACACTATTTTTTGCTTCAACTCTCAAATGCCAGTTAGAATATGCTTTCTGGAGTTAATTGATATACATAAGAGGGAGGAAGTTTCTTTTAATGTTACAGATGATTTAAAAGGATGTTAAGTAACTATTTTGAGAAATACAACACTACTATTGAACTTCTGCCAGAAAATCTGATACAAATTAAGGTGTGGTTAGCTAATGCCCATCCAACTTCGACTGAAGTGGTTCAAAAAATTGAAGAGATTAAAAAGGATATTAACACTTTCAAAGTAACTAATTGGTGGGATGATTTATGGGATTGGGGTGCAATTGGAATACAGATTTACCCTTGTGTTCATCTTACATCACATGTTACAGTGTTAATACTGTGTCCTTTAATATTTTTCATATTTTTTTAAACTGAATTTGTTAAATGGAAAGATGCAACGGTTAAACATGGAATTGATGTTACACAGCGAGAATTTAATTAATTGTAAGAATGCAATATTAGTCATACATTAATAGTTAGTTTGACTGGATACAAACACTTAAGCACGAGAGAGAATTTGGTCATGGTTTGTGATCAGGGTCAAGAGGAGGGACTGTGGTCAGGGTGGCCAGCAGGAGAAATGGCTATGAGACTGGTTAAGAGCTACAATCAAGCATGCTGGGAACTTTGGTCAAGCTAGTTTAAACTCTGGCCTAGGATGAAACTGCAGCAAGGAGATGATGTGATCTGTTCTGTAAGCTGTGACTAGCAGCTTACTGTGTTGACCAAGTAAGGGCAGTCATAGTGGTCCACTAGACATACTGGCACCAATATTGCCTGATATGGAGCACGGAATGTGACATTTATGACTTGGTATAAGCATTTGGGGGCTGTTTATCAGTAAACTCCATTAGCTGGGATCGGACATTGTGATCAAGTTTCAGTCAATTCAATGGCTGAGTTTCTGGAAGAGTGAGTACATTTTGGCATAAAGTTAACGCACAAAGGACTTTCTTCATTTGCAAGTACTCGAGATTTACTTCTGTGAAGTATGTGCTCTAAAGTTTCTTGATTTGTTACAGTTAGTTAAGCCCTTAACACAACATTTAATTTCTTTTTTTATCTTTTCAGCTATAACTGGAAATTCAATTTAAAAAAAATTCTACAATATTCTACAAAAAGACAATATGCTTTTCAAACTATTGCTGTATTTCATATAATGACTGCCTATCTTCTTCCAGTTCCAGTGAAGACTGGGTTGGACAAAGTCAGAAGTCACACGACACCAGGTTACAGTCCAACAGGTTTATTTGAAATTTACAAGCTTTCAGAGTGTAGCCTCTTTATCAGGTGAAGGGGCTATGCACCAAAAGCCTGTGATTTCAAATAAACCTGTTGGATTATAACCTGGTGTCATGTGACTTCTGACTAGTTCCAGTGAAAACTTTGTCACCTACTTCTATTGAATCACGTTAGTGAAAATACATATTCAAACTGTAACTTCAAAGCTTTTTTTTATTATTGGCTTTTGGGCATGAAATTGAACATGTGGTGGTGCATAGTGCATTAGATTATGTTGATGACTAGTTTGCCTTATCCAACTGAGATCCCTCTTTAAACAGAAAGAGCATCAAACCTGCAAATGCTCCACCACCTACTATTTTTGCAATTTGCCAACATTTATTTATGAAAATAGTTAATGTCATAATAACCGGATAATTGGTGTTTTTGTGTATTATTGGCCAAGTCACAAGGAACCAATTCCCTGTCAAGGGTAACTGGGGATGGGTAACAACTGCTGTAAAAAAAACAAAAATGCTGGAGAAACGCAGCAGGTCTGGCAGCATCTTTGCACAGAGAAAACAGTTAATATTTCAGTGACCTTTCTACAGAACAAATGGTGGCCTGACCAGCATCACTCATTCCATCACAATAACAGAAACATAAACATTTCTGTCTGCTCTACATTGCGGAAATGAAATGTGACTGCTTTGCAGAACACCTACGTTCTGTCTGTAAAAAAAATGACTCTGAACTTCCTGCCACTTCAATATACCACCCGTTCCCTAGCCAACACCTATTTATCCCCACTCTTTGCTTTACGTTAGTTCTGTTAGGTCAAGGTGGGCACGGACCAGGAGCCTCAACATGGAGACACTCTCGTGTGGCACTGCGCTGGATCCTTCAGATAGCCCACAGAGTTTGGCAGAGCCAGGGAAATATATGTGTGGGAGGTGGGGGTTTTGGGGTGACTGTGGCCGCTCCAGCATTTGGAGGGTTTTTTTTTTGGGTAGGGGGAGGCCTGTCTGACCCTTGAAGGCTGTAGTCGGGCTCTGGTCTCATTCAGTCTGAGCGACGCCCGGAAATTCCATCAGCCCCAAGGGGAGTATGGCCCTAGATTAGAGCCCCTAGTCCGGAGAGTGTGTCTACACTTCTTCCAGCTCTGGTCTGGGCCAGGTCAGGCAGGTGGGACATCCCAATGCAGTTTCACCATCCTATCCCTCCCTGCATTCAAGAGTTCCACCAAGGATCACCAAATGTAACTTAGTTTTGGCAGGTATCTTTTGGATAAAGCATGTGTTTACAAATTATAAGGAAGTCTAAAGTAAATTTCAGATCACCTGGTTAGATGAACAACAGAATAGCACAACTTCTTTACATTAACACCGTAAAGATAAGGATAAAGCTTCAGTGTGTTTACACATGTGTTTTTACTTATAACTATAGACATGAAATCTACGTTAATCCCTGATCTGCACTTGGTCAGAGTTGACTCAGTTTCTAGTGCTGACTTGAATTCATTTTTTTCTAGAAGATTGCCATGCCTTCAAGTACAGATATGATGGACAACTCCCACAGCCAGACTGTCCTTTGCTGCTTGAATGAACAACGCACCAAAGGAGTCTTTTGTGATGTAACCATTGTTGTGGAGGACGCCAAGTTTAAAGCCCACAAAAATGTCTTGGCAGCAGCCAGCATTTACTTTAAGAACCTCTTTTCAAGCCAGGAGTTGTGGTTGGTTGGCCATATCCTGGAGCTGCCTGACTTCAAGGCAGATGTGTTTGCAGAAATACTGCATTTCATCTATAGTGCAAAGGTAGCTATCAAAGGGTATGAGAGAGTTCAAGAACTTGTTGATGCTGGGAAAAGACTAGGCATATCATTTTTGGAAAATCTGATGCCTATTCCTCAGCAACACATTGAACCTGTAAATGCACTAAGCAGTTGTTCACCTAATTCTACTCAGTCTGTTTCTTCTGCTTCTTCCCTCTCCTTGCCAACTAGCCTTCCAAATTTCAAAGCAGAGGACTGCAATGCTATGAGTGACAAAGGCAGTGAGGATTTCCATTGTGTAAATGGACCTCGAATCACAAATGCGTTTTCAATTTTTGACATGCAGGCTGGCAATGACATGTATTTTCCAGTTGATTTGACAACCAATGTCAACAAAAAAACAACAGAATCTGATAAGCTGTCCATGGTATGTGTTGGCCAGGCTGCAAATGGCACACAGCAGATACCTGCTCATACTTTTGCTGAACATTCCTATGCTGTATCTTCTTCTCGAAAAGATCAGCAAAATGTTGATCCTCCTTATGATCTTCAAGTAAAGGAACCTGTGGAAGAAAATGAAAAACCTTTGTGCAATATTAATAGCAATACTGCTGATTCTGGAGCTACACAGGAGATGCAGTTGGAAGACCAAATTTCCAAAGCCCCGCAAACACTCTACACTGCAAGCTCAACTGGCTTTAATGTTTTACGATTTAACTTGAATGCTTTGCAAACTGCAAATGATAGTAGTCCAGTAAATGTTGTGCCAGCTACTGATCCATTAAATGGACCTGATGTGGAGACAAAGGAAACTGAAGGTGGAGGCAATGATGAAGAAAGAACTTCTGCTATGGAAAACATGAGCAAATTAGTATCTAATACTGTTTGGTCTGAAACTGCACCAGCAGTACCATGCCAAACTCCTTACAATTGTAAATATTGCCCGCGATCTTTTAGTACTCGAGCATCATTGAATGTCCATTCCCAAATCCACACAACACTTTTAGAGAAGCCCTTATCCTGTAGGCATTGTGGTAAACCATTCGTTCATCTGAAGAGGCTGCAGACTCACGAGCATCTTTGCAGAGGACCAGGAACGACTTTGTCTGATCGTGAATCAACTGATGAGCAAGTGGAGAATATTTGCAGCGACAATGAAGTTGCAAGTGGTGAGGAAGATCGAAATTCAATTTCTCACGCTTTAGAAATAGAACCTTCCAACAAGTGCCCATTGAAATTGGTGCAGTCAAGGAGAGGCAACAGCTCCCCAGAACCAGAACATTTTGTGAAAGTTGTTGAGGGACACATTTTATATTTTTGCAGTGTTTGCAAACGTTCCTATGTAACTCTGTCGAGCTTAAAGAGACATGCCAATGTTCATTCTTGGCGGCGAACATATCCCTGTCACTACTGCAATAAGGTATTTGCATTAGCTGAATATCGTACTAAACATGAAATATGGCATACTGGAGAGAGACGCTATCAGTGCATCTTTTGTTTAGAGACATTTATGACCTACTATACTTTGAAAACCCATCAGAAATCTTTTCATGGCATTGACCCAGGTCTTCCCACAAACAAGAAAGCTGCAAGTGGTGGATATAGAGCCAAGATGTATCCATTCAAACTTTACAGGCTTCTACCTATGAAACTACAAAAAAGACCTTACAAAACTTACACTAGATCTTGCCCAGAAACCTGCAAAGATAATAAAGTTGTCGGAGTTCCTTCAACTGATGAAAATGCGAGTTCTCTTGACATCAATAATTTTTCCATCAGTAGTAGCATGTCATCTACTTCAGAGCACTTGCAGGATAAGTTGCTATCTTCAGAAATTATGCCTTCACAGCAGTCTTCCCTTTGTGCACCAGGATCCTTTCTCACAGAACGATCTGAAAGTGGTGCAAGGGAAACATGCCTCTTGGCTGAATGTGAAGATGGCAGTCTTTCCGCTGGCTGCTATCTTAATGATCCCTTACTTTCTTGCACTTCAACAGAAAATGAAACCTATCATAACGATAAAGATGATGCTGATAATAGGCAACAACCGTTGGCCACTGACATGAACAGTACAGGTCTTTCCGTTATTAACTATGGGCACACAGCTCAGTCTGTTATAATGCACAGTAATAGGGTTTCATCTGTTATAAAACATGGAAATGCATTTTCTTCAGTCATTACGTACAACCATGGAGTACAGTCTGGCAATGATATTTATCATCCACTTTCACAGACCAATATGAGCAACGATTCTTTGGACACAAATCCAAGGAAAAATATTTCTAAAGATTGTGTTAGATTTCAGAAAAAAGGTATCTACAAAGAGGGAAATGGACAAATCACAGAACTGGTTGCTACACAAAAAAATCATTCAAGTCCTTTATCTGGAGGATGTCGAACAGAAACTTATATTGCAAAGCCTGCCTTCCCTGGAACCTCCACAGATAGTCAAGTAGCTCCTCTTTGCCAAATTACAGTGAAGATCGGGGATAAAGCAGTTGTACAAAGACAAATTACTGGATCCAAACAGTTCCGTAGAAAAGGTAGAAAACCTAAATATATGATTCCAAATGAAGAAAAGATGGTCCAGGATATTAAATTAGAAGAAAGTGAAGAACAGATTACCAAGTCACCCAGTTACACAGATCCTATTGGAAGTATTGCAGATTCTACTGGAGGCATTGAAACATGTGATGAAATGAGTGATCATGACTCAAATGACAAACTTTGGAGACCATACTATTCATATAAGCCAAAAAAGAGATCTAAAGGCTTTAATAAACTGAGAAAATCTAGATGGAAGAAAAATGGTGGATGCAATGTTGATAGCCCTTCTGTTCCAATTCCTGCTATCAGTGAAGAACAGAATTTTGACATCCCAAAAGGAATTGCTTTAAACGAAGAGATTAATGATGTATCTCAAGAATCTAATTGTACACTTGGCAATAAAACAAAACATTCTGAAGAAGCGAAAAGACAACTAAAATGCCATTCAACAACAAAGCCTTATTCATGTACTATTTGCACAAAATTATTTCCAAACTCTTCTACATTGAAAATGCATATGAGATGTCATACTGGTGAACAACCTTTCTCCTGCAAATCCTGCGGCCGACGGTTTTCCGTCCAAGGAAATCTCCATAAACATGAACGCATCCATTTGGGTGTTAAAGAATTTGTTTGCCTCTACTGCAACAAGGCCTTCACTTTGAGTGAAACTCTTAAAAAGCATGAAAGGATCCACACTGGGGAAAAGCGGTACCGCTGTCACTTCTGCCCTCGGCGTTTCCTTTACTTGACGACCAAGAAGAATCATGAGCAAAGACATTTGGAAAGAAAGCGTGCTCAGCAGGTAGGAAAAGAGCATGTTTGTTTCCAGTGTTTTAAGGTTTGCAAAACAGCAGCTGCACTTGGTATGCACCAAAAAAAGCACTTAATAAAGCATCCTAGTTGTGAGGATGCAGAAGGATCGAAGAACTACCAAAGTGATCTCCACACAAATATGACTTGTCCAACTGTAGCCGAATCTAAGCTTAAAAATAGGACAGAGGCAGAGAACAAACTGAAATTAGCAACTACTACAAGTAGTTGTGAACAGAACCATAGTTCATGCGACACAGAGCTCAGCCCTGATTGTGGCCAGCCTCATCTGCCAACTGTTCAAACTAATAGTGCAAAATACCCATGGCCAAGTGCTCATGACATCAGTGCAGATCCTTTACAGAGATCACTACCACAGAATAGTGAGAACATTTGGCAGATTCACCAGCAAAATCTAGACATTAATCTGCCTATTTGCAGAAATATTTCTTATCAGTGTGAGAATAGCGACAGAGATGACAGCAGATTTGTTTTCTACCAACATTCTTCTAAAATGTTTTATACTCATCAGGGCGAAGGGATGGTCTACAAAGCCATGTAAAAAAAACTGCTCAATCTTGAGGATTTAGTGCTTTCTTCTGCTATAGATTGGAATATCATTGAAACCCAAAATGTTTAAGTTAAAAGCACATTTTTGTGTTTAAGAAATTGTGCTGCAGGAGATTATGAAGGTATTACAGGTCAAACTCTCAAGTGACCTTGGGAAAGAAATCGTGTTTCCTCTTTTTTTTTTAAGTCATTTTCTTGAAGGAAATAAATACCACTATTTCTCCTAAAACCATTATTTCCCAGTTGTTTCTGAAAATTTCCCTTGTTTTAAACATCATTATGTTGAAACTTTAAAAATGTATCTAATTTTTTTACGTCTATGAGGTGTTCACTGAAGCTTCTAATGCAGAGAAGCATGCTTGCAGCATTGGTTTAAGTAGAAGCAAGTTGGGTACTAAATTAAACTTACTTTCAAAGTTAAAGTGAATAGTGTTAATGCAAAGCATCCGTCCAAGATATTAAAATAGCCAATTATATCACTAGAAAGGTCCAAAAGTCATGACAACTGGTAGCAGTCTTGTATGTACAGATACATATATGTATATTTGTGTATATATATATGTCTTTTTCATTAGTAAGATACAACTATAGATATGTGATGTATACTGTGCCCACAAGTACCATTTTCCCCCCTCTTGCACAGTGACATTTAACTGTATTTAGATCAGAGTTTAAAAAAAACTGTTGTCAGTTTGCTCTTTCTCATGCTTTAGTTTGTATTTTTTGCCCAGAAAATAGTGTTTGAAACATTTAAGGAGATTTCCTGATGTACATGTCAGCAATAACTTGAAATTTAATTGTATAAATGTGTGACTGTTGTTGGATTAACATTTCATGTAACAAATGTAAAGGAATTTGTCAAACTAAGGGTTACTTTTTTTTGGGAGGGTTACTTTTATTGGGAGGGAGGTATGGAAGGGGAAAGGTTTTTTTGTGTTAAAAGGATGTGATCACTGTAGATGCCATTGATGGAATTAATTTGATGTAATAAAGCAAATTAAACAATATAATTTTTTAGCTTTCCTTGTTGAAATGTGACATTTTGATTCATTTTCCATACTTTTATTTTCAATACATTACAGGTCATATAGACAGTGCTTGATAGTGACAGTAGATAAATCTTCATGACAGGATATCAGTTTTCCTGACAGCCACTCACAAATAAACTAGCCCTTTTTTTTAATATTGATGTGATAGAGTCATAGAGTTAAGCAGCATCGAAACAGACCCTTCGGTCCAACCAGTCCATGCGGAACATAATCCCAACTAAACTAGTCCAACTGCCTGCTCCTGGCCCAGGTCCCTCCAAGGCTTTCTTGTTCATGTACTAATCTAAGTGTCTTTTTAAATGTCATAATTGTGCCTGCATCATATCTTGAAGACTTCAATCATATCATCCCTTAACCTTCTAAATTCTAGAGAAAATATGCCTAATTTGAACAATCTCTCCTCCTAACTTAACACTCAAAAGCCCAGGTATCATTCTGGTAAACCCATATTGTACTCCTTCTAAAGTCAATATATCCTTCCAAAGGGGTGGTACCAAAATCTGCTCACAGTACTCCAAGTGGGGTCTGACAAGGGTTTTGGATAACTGCAGCACAACTTCAGCATCCTTGTACTCCAGACCTCTCGATATAAAGGCCAGCATTCCATTTGCTTTCTTGATTTATTTTCTGCACCTGTTTGTGATATTTTAAGAATCTACATACTTGAACACCCAAGTCTCTTTGGACATTCACTCTATTTAACTTTATGCCATCTAGAACGTCCAAAATGGATAACCTCATACTTGCTTATATAGAACTCCAGTTGCCATAATTTTGTCCATTCACCTAGCTTGTCTATACCTTATGTAATTTTATGCTATCATTCACATTGTCTAAAATGCCACCTAACTTTGTGTACCTTAGTCACCTCTGCAAAAAATTCAATGAAGATTGTCAAGAAAGACCTACCTGTCATGAATGCATGCTGCTTGTCCCTGATTAACTGAAAACTCTTGAGGTGTTCAGTTAGCCCTCTCAGGGGTATAAACTAATTTAGTATTGTGTTAAATGTTTATTTAAACGTCCTCCACTGTTCTTCAGTGGTTATACCCATCAGTAGATTTTTCCAGTTTACTGTGGATGCTCTCTGCCTCATCTCATTAAAGTCAGCCTTACCTAAATCTAAAGTTCTAGTAGTTGATTCATACTTTTCTCTTTCAAATGCTACATTGAACTTGATCATGTTATGATCACTATTTGACAAATGTTTACACACAAATAGGATACTAATTAAATCTGGCTCATTACTCATTACTAAATCCAATATTGTTTATTGGTTTGTTGCATCAAGGACATTGTGACGATTCTGTGCCTTTAAGAGTCTATTTTGTTCTTTTTTCTTTAAAAGTTCTTGAAGTATTTTGATAATCTGCCAGTATTTCTATTGAATTATACACCTCCCTACATGTATATTGGAAGTATTCGTGCTTGTCTTTACTTAAAATATCTCTTAATTTATCCCTTTCAAGGACAAAGCTTGAATTTTTACAGCACCTTCAATGTTGCAAAATATTCCAAAATACTTATTCCAAAGTCTTCAGAGGTTACAGAGATTGAGATCATGGTTCATTTTGTACCTTCTACGTTTCATTATTGTTCTGATAAATTATTTAGAAGAAAAATGCTCCATATCAATCATTAAACTTCAAACTTTTAACAGAACACCTTCAGCCCACTTTGTTGTTATTTACATTATTTAATGGAAAGTATTTATAAAGTGAGCTGCAAGTATCTTTGTAATGAAGAATATACAGAGAGGGATAGAGGTTACTCCTTTGTAATACATCCATGTGCATTAATCTGTACAACCTCCTAAAATTGTTATTTTCATGTTAACTTTTACAATAAATGCATCACAAGACCATAAAATATGGGAGCAGTAGACTATGTGGACCATTGAGTCTGCTCTGTATTGAATGAGATTATCTGATGATCCTCAATTTTACTTTCCTGCCAGACCCCCATGCCTCGATTCCCTTACTTATTTCTAAAAACCTGTCTATCTCAGCTTTGAATATACTTCACAACCCAGCTTCGACAGCCGTCTGTGATAAAGAGTTCCACAGATCGAGAGAAGAAACTCCTGCTCATCTCTGTCCCAACTTACTTTAGGGCCAGAAGGCATAATCTCAGAAACAAAACCAAAAGTTGCTAGAGAAGCTCAGCAGGTCTGGCAGCATCTGTGAAGAACAAATCAGAGTTAACATTTCAGGTCTGGTGACCCTTCCTCAGAACCAGGAATGTTAACTGTGACTTTTTTTCTTTACAGATGCTGCCAGACCTGCTGAGCAACTTCTGGTTTTGTTCCTGATTTACAGCATCTGAAGTTCTTTCGGTTTTTTTTTTGGCATAATCTCAGACTCTCCCACATGAGGAAACAACATTTCTGCATCTACCCTGTCGAGCCCCCTAAGAATGTTGTGTTTCATTTAAGGTCACCAGTTATTCTTCTAAACAGCAATGTTTATAGGACCAGACAACTCAACGTCTCCTTATAAAATCCCTCCATACTCTGGATCAGTTTAGTGATGGGAAGGTGATGGCCTAGTGGTATTATCACTGTGTTGCCAATTGTCAGGAAAAACCCAATTGGTTCATTAATGTCCTTTAGGGATGGAAATCTGCCAACCTTACCTGGTTTGACCTACATGTGACTCCAGGCCGACAATAAATACTGGCCTGGCCACCAACGTCCATATCCTGTGAGTTAAAAAAATCTCAGGACTGTCTCCAAAGCCACTACATCTTTGTTTATATAAAAGGGCCAAAACCGTTCACATATTTTAGATATGGTCTGACTAGTGTCCTATATATACTTTTAGCAGGTCTTCTCAACTTCTTTGTTTCATTCCCTTTAGAATAGAAAGGCTAACAGTCTATTTGCCTTCCCCATTTCTGCTGATCTTGGATTTTTGTGATTTATGAGCAAGGACTCCTAAATCCCTCTGTGCTGTAGCTTTCTGCAATCTTTCTCCATTGACAGAATAGAAGACACGAATATTAAAGTGCATTACCTCACATTTCCCACATTATATTTAATTTGCTAAGATTGTCCCTAGTCACTTAACTTGTCTACAGCTCTTGTAGATTATGTCAAGCTCACCACTTGCTTCCCCACCTATTTTATCCAGAAACTTAGTAGTACTACATTCACTTCCTTCACCCAAGTCATTCTTTAACATGGTAAATAATTGTAATCTCAGCAATGATTCCTGTGGCAGGCCACTAGTTACAAATTGCCATCCTTAAAAAGCCCTCCTTATACTAACTTTGTCTTTGATATGAGGCACGAGTTTGCTAGTATTAATTGTGAAATGTTCCTTAAAGGGATGACAATGGATAGGTAATAGCAAACACTTAAAGAGTGTATGATGAAACCACAAGAGTCATAGAGATATACAGTGTGGAAAAAAACCCTTCAGTCCAACTTGTCCATGCCTACCAGATATCCTAAATAAATCTATTCTCATTTGCCAGCTTTTGGCCCATATCCCTCTAAACCCTTTCTATTCATATACCCATCCAGATACCTTCTAAATGTCGTAATTGTATCAGCCTCCATCATTTCCTCTGGTAGCTCACGCCATACACACACCACCCTCTGCGTGAAAAAGTTGTCCCTTAGGTTTCTTTTAAATCTTTCCCCTCTCATCTTAAACCTATGCCCTCTCGTTTTGGACTCCACCACGTCTGGGAAAAAAAACCTTGTCTATTTAACCTATTCATGCCCATCATGATTTTATAACCTCTATATGGTCACCCCTCAGCTTCCGACGCTCCAGGGAAAATAGCTCGAGTCTATTCACCCTCTCCCTATAGCTCAAACCCTCCAACCCTGGCAACATCCTTGAAAATCTTTTCTGAATCCTTTCAAGTTTTACAACATCCTTCCTACTTCTACACAGTAAAAAAACAAAATGGGAAAGGTGGCCCAACCATAGCTAATGAAGGAAATTATGGACAGTATAAGATGAAAGGAAGGGGCATACAAAGGACTGTCTCAGATTCTTCCTTATCCCGCAAGATTCCATCTGAGGTTCCATTCTTCATGTTTTGAACCCAGTGTTAATTACAGGTATTTCCAAGATGTACAAAGTTCCTCCAGCTGCATCCTGGGATCCGCAGCCAGTACCATGCACTCCCACATGCCACTAAATCTCTTTTCCATCAGCACCAAGTTATGCTATCTTGAAGTTGTCCTAGTCCAAAGTTCCATCTCATTCTTTGTCTCATTTGCACTTTAACAAGAAATTTTTCTCTTCTTTCAGATGTTAAGGAACAAAGTTCTGAAGACGAGTAATGCTGGACTTGAAATGTTAACTCTGTTTCTTTCTCCACAGATGTTACCAGAGCTACTGAATTTATCCAACTTTTTTAATGGTTGTATTAGATTTTCAGCAAGCTCAATGTGGTTTCTTATCGAGTGCCTTTTGGAAATTAAAATATATCACATCTGTTGGATCGCTTATACTATATTCAGCTTGTTACCTCATCCAATAAATTTGAGAAGCATGATTTTGTCTTTAAGAAACCATGCTGCCTTTGCTTAATCATACTGTGTATTTCTAAATTCTGTCCTATTACCTCTTTTATAATGGGTTGTAACATTTTCCCAATGACAAATTTTAAGTTGTGACCTATTGTAACTTGCTTTTTATCTCCTTCCCTTATTTATTAAGGGTGTTGCATTGGCAGTTTTTCAAACCTCTGGATTCTTGGAAGATTTGTCCACTGCATCCACTATCACTGTGGCTACTTCCTTTAATATTGTAAAATGCAACTCATCGGGTGCAGGCAATTGAATAGCCTCCGTCCCATTAGTTTTCGGAGCACTTTTTCTCAAATTATTCTATTTATTTTCTCCTCCTCCTTTTGCTCTTGATTGTTTCGACTTTCTGAAATGCTATCAGTGTCTTCTACTGTTAAGACCATAAGATATAGGAGCAGAATTAGGCCACTTGGCCC